GAAATCTTGTTACATCTTATTTGTTATATTCAAAAAAGTGAAAGACTAAATGCGAATTAATTGTTAAAATACAAACATAAATAATACATAAATATCGTTAAATCCTGTTATGAATTGCAGTACGACACATATCTGATCCATTGTATTTGGAAACTCCATAGCAAAACGATATAGTGGCTCTTAGAATTTCGTAAAAATTGGTAGTTTTGTTCCTTATCCAAAAATAAATTTTTTTAAATGATTTTTTTTTTAATTTATAACTTTATCAAATGAAAGGTAATAAAAAATACCATTTAGAGATTTTCTAATAAAGAACATTGATTGTAGTGTGACTTATGTGATTATGTTAGCTATGTATCAATGTAGGCGCATGGTAGTCTAGTCGCATAGGAGTATTGAGCGAAAACCCGAAACTTGATAACTTCTAAAAAATATAACTGAAAAACGAGAAAAAAGAGGTGAGAGGTTGTATCCAAAACACGACCGTAGATTTGACGTAGGATAACGTGCTCGGTATCAATATTTGGCCACTGCACACTGGGCCAGGACTGCAATCTAGTGGAGCAAAATTAATAACTCCGAAACAAAGCATTTCCGCGACTTGGTGTCTTGGACAAAGTTTCTCATCATAGTAAGGACCATCTATTGACGTAAACAAATAGTTGAAAACTCTCCCGCAAAGATTACGCCACAATTTAACTTTTTTCTTTGACGTTTTGAAGAGCTGATGTCTTCGGAAATGTTGTTTATCTTGCCTAAATTAACAACTCTTTTGAAGACGTAAAATTTCCACAGCCTACTGGTTCCGAGTTATATGAAGTTAAAGAAAAAAATGTCGAAAATATGGTTTTTTCTTTCTTTTTCGGTTTTCTTGCTTACAGCCAGGGTTGCTTCCACTCACTTGCTATAAAAAAATATTTTTTGGAATTATGCAATCATTAGATGTTATAATGCTATGTTGCACTTGTAAGTAACAGGAATAGGGTGTAATGTATGTGTTTGACTCATAAAACCTGCCAATTTCGCTTTGAGCGCGTCACAATCAGCGATCTTATGATTCGTGAGCGTTCACTCAGAGTGAGCGCTCACGAGTCGTAAAATCGCTGATTGTGACGCACTGAAAGCAATATTGACAGATTTTATGTGTCAAACATATACTTCATGACCTCTTCTTGTAACTTACAAGTACTAATTAGCATTATAATATTTCATGATTACATTATTCCGAAAAACATTTTTTTATAGCAAGTGAGTGGAAGTAACCCTGCTTACAGCCATATAATGTTATATTTTTCTCTTATTCAAATGCATTAAATAAAAAGCTTTTGTGAAGAAATGTACTGGTTTAAGCATCACATTTTAAAGATATTGTTGAAAATAACGAAAACAAAACAGCAATTTTTTAACTTTATTATATCCCAAAGCGCAAAAAATCGCAACCTGGCATTTTCAGCAAAAATTAAGCAATACTCGATAAACAAAATATCAAAATTTGAGATATTACAAAAGTAATTAAGCATTTGCATAAGAGAAAAATATAACATTATATGGCTGAAAGCAAAAACAAAAACATATATTCGACATTTTTTTCTTTAACTCCATATAACTCGGAACCAGTAGGCTGTGGAAATTTTACGTCTTCAAAAGAGTTGTTTATTTTGTCAAGATAAACAGCGTTGCGCAAGACATCAAGTCTCCAAAACGTCAGAGAAAAAAGTTATGTTGTGGCGGCATCTTTGCGAAAGAGTTTGAACTATTTGTTTATGTCAATAGATGATCCTTATTATGATGAGAAACATGCCCAAGGCACCAACTCGCGGAAATGCTTTGTTTCGGAGTTATTAATTTTGCTCCACTAGATTGCATTCCTGGCCCAGTGTGCACTGTTTTGCAGGTAATCTGTGATAATTTTGAACACCATTGCAACAGTTAGACATTTGTGTAACTTTCAACAGTCACCTTTTGAAAATTGATAAAGACTTAGTGTTCATTTTAGCTGATTCGTAGACAAATTTATAATCGATTTTCCCGTTTAGAATTAAAATTCATCCGCTATTGACAGAGTTGCAGGCTTGGCAAAAACTCCATCAAGAGTAATCAATAAGCTGAGCTCCAGTATACTTTGATGATGATATATTTTGCTCTCACGGAGCTATACTTGATGCTCAAGCTGGGCTCTTGTCATCCTGCATCGCTGAGAGGGATGGGAAGCTCGTTCTCGGGTGTACATCGACACTAACTACCGAGCAGAAATTTTAACTTCGTGATGTGCTCGCGCAAAGCAGTAAACTTGGAGCTTCGTGATGTGTTCGTAGAGAGCTTGGCTCTTGATGGCTTCTCTCAGTGCGCATGAATTAATGATTTTGTATTGTATTTGAGAAAGAAGTTTACAACTAAGAAATGAAAAAAAAAAAATATTATGGAACTTATGCATAAAGGGTTTTTGATCTAATTTCCGTCCTAATTTACCTCTCTTTTTTGAAAAGGATTGAACAAAACATGGAATATTTTCATCAAATATAATTTCTAAATTTATTCACCTTTCCATACGTACCGTTGTAGAGTCAAACAATGTTGAGATATTATAAAAAATCTAGCACTGCTTCTTGATTCTAAATTCATCGTACAAGATTTTCTTCGTCCTACTGATTATGGTAGAAAAAGTGGATTCGCTAGGAGCGCTTCTTTTGTTTTGAGCACAACGAGTGTAAATATTCATACAATGCGCTTGTAATATGCTTCATGTTGTGGCTTATGAACTAACGGATCGGATCATACGTATTAATGTTTTGTGCATGATGAAATCATTGATATTATTGATGATTTCTGCCCGATAGAACGGAAATGGGTGATTACGACGAAGTAGCACTCTTTCCTATGCATAACATTTGATTTGCGTTTCTGCGACATCTTGCAACCAACTGAAGGTTATGAATTAATCGTTTAAGATTTCAACAATCGAAATAGGCGGAACAACCAAACGAAAAGAATGGTTTTAAAAACAAATTCCTCGAAAATCAAAGCACATCCAAACAATCTAATACCATCATCTGATAGAACAAACTTCCTTTATTGAATGGCAACTTTAGTTTACGTGGTAGTGTTTTGATTCTCGAGAATTTTGTGTTTAAAGTCATTGCTTACGTTGGTTTGTTCCACCTATTTCAATTGTTGGTCCAGAAAGGTTTCCGAGCTACCGTGTGAGCAGCGAGGGTAGCGAATTGAATGAATGAACAATGAACATGTCAAAAAGGCATCAAAAGAATACGAAAACATCACCAAGGGATAATTCATAAACTGATGAGCAATTAGTGCTTTTACTAGTTTTTCCCTTGTACATTCTAAGTCAGAAATATAATTTCGTCTATCCACGCATAAAGCACATAGCGGAAAAACGATCAAAGATTTTTGTGACTGAGTTTGAGTAACCCAAAAAGTGGTCCTCAAATTTAAAAAAAAACATCAATCTCTCAAAATGTTACGTTCTCTGGAAATCCTATAATCCTATAGTCCATCGAATGTGTATCATAATATTGAATGGAAGAACCGTGCATCAATCGAAGGCCGTGCGTGCTTTCTCCGAATGCATAACGAAGCTCTATATTTACGGTTTCACCGAGTCCATCCCGAAGTTCAAAATATTGTTTGGTGAGCAGAGCCGATGTAAATCATGCCTTACTCAAGAACGCACCGCGCATCACTCATCGTGATGCGTGTTTGTGAAAGTTCAGCTTGAGCATCAATCTGAGTTCGAACTCTTTTGCGCTCTTTGGATTTGACATCATTGCTCTTTATATGTGAGGGATGAACTCGATCACGATGAATGAGCATCTATACGGTATAATCTGAGTTCGAGGAGCTTAGGCAAGCCTGGTTATAGGTGGTCAAAACCTGAAATTGCACCCTCAATATGTTGCTCAAAGATACTAAATTATACGGGTCTAATATGTTGCGACAAGGAACAAAACTACAAATTTTTACGAAATTCTGAGAATTACTATACCGTTCTGCTGGCAGAATATATTCATCACGGTAGTTTAAAGAAGAAAACATTTTTTGTAATGTAACACTGTAATTGAAAAATTGAGTGTGAACCCTAGTGGAACATTTTTCGAAACATTGTGAATATATATATATTTTTTTTAAATCTTGGCTGGTGATTAAACAGATGTTTATTGATTTATCGCTATAGTTTTGGACTTTATTGGAAGAACCTGTATGAAGTGAGGTTTATTTGAGTAAAACGCTCGATTTTCAACTGTTTACCTAGTTGACGCATTTTATTACAATTAGTTAAACATGAATGATCTTTATTATGACTTAAATTGAGAAAAACTTGAAAAAGTTTAGTTCATTACATTTCAATGAAAAGGCGTTTTTCTCAAATAGCTATTACTTTCAATAAACGCAACCAAATAAGCCCAACACTGTACCAATAATTGATAAACTTATGATGATTCAGCAGCCAGAAATTCAAAAACGTATCTCTTTAAATTGCGCTTTTAATTTTTTTTTTCTAAAATTTAAGGACATCTGTACGCTCAATTTTGAGATGAGATGGAAGGCGAATCAGACCAGGACTGAAAGTCTCCCTCATAAAGATATATAATAAAAATTAAGATGCACTGTATGTGTACCATTGTATTGAATTTTTGAAAATTTACCCGTCATGATTCAAACCTCACAGTACAATCATCGTTTTCAAAGAACCAAATCCGCTAAACGCACCCGAACGTGATAGAAACCCCATCTTTATTACAGTGCAGTCTGTTGCAATTTAACCAGTTGTTTTACTGCAACATCGGACCGGGGGGGCGCCACTCTCAATTATTCACACCCCATATGGTCGGTATGGCTTGGCATGTCGCTCTTCTAGATTTCGTATGTTCACCAGCCATTAGTGCACAGTCAGTTGTTACCGGAATAGTCCGAGGCTAGGGCTGGCTACCGCTGACAGTTTTATCGCAGGCCACAAATACAAATACCAATGTTCCACCTACCTGTTTCGTAACCGAATCGATGAGCCGCACGAAGATATCCTGCTCCTGGCGGGCACCTGTTGGCAAGCGGAAAGGAAAAGAAAACCGGTAAGAAAATTTTAAAATTGCCATTTATCCGGATGGTTGCAAATTCAATAAAATAAACTATTAAGTTTATTGCTTCCGTGCCAGTTTGTAGGTAAAGTGTCCGGCTATCTTCCACACACGGAAGCAAGATTTAACACATGCGATAAATAATTGAAAACCATAGAAGCTTCCGTTGTCTCAACCTCCGGCTAAACGCCTCAACTTCACAAGGAACAAACAATCAAAACACTTAATTTTAATTGGATAAATTAAGAAGATAAAAAAGTTAGCCTTCTCTCTTCGCACGGATTCGTGGTGCCAGGCATGAACCAGTGTAGTGCGTCGTTGGAAAGTCTGAAAAGTGAAAGTATGAGCTACGACCATCGCTGCGCTGCCCCCTGTGGGACTTGGGGACCTGAGCCGTCCCCGAAATCTTATTTGTCTAATGTTCTCCTCCCCTTTCGGAAGAAGAAGAAAAACCGACCATGCACAAAAGAAAGCAACTCCATGGCGGTGACCGAACAGCGGTTATTAAATTTTCCTTTTTCCGATAGAATATGCTCTTATGAATGCACACGTCGCAGCACGAAGAACGACCGGCGATGGCACGCTCCAACTACCGGAAGTTCTTCGGGAAGGAAGCAATAATATAAGAACTGTATCCGAGTGTCGTCGTCGTCGTCGTTGTCGTCCGACTCAAAGTTTAATAAAGTTTGGCACTCTCGAGGTGGAGATTCTTGACCAATGGATATCCGTGCGCGTATGGATATCTAGAACAAAAGAAGAAGAATGGTCGTCCCTTTGACCGAACGGAGCCGGAAAGGAAGACCGTTCGGTGGAAGCAAGGTGCGAGAGAGGTAATTGTTTTGGTGTGATTTATTATGAAAATCTTTATCTTTTTCCATACATGAGGTGCACTTTGGGCCGACCGAGAACGATGATGATATAGAGGCCTATAATGCTTGGTTATTAAAGTTTGATTTTAGTTGGGACCTCGGGAAAGGCTCACCCGACAAAGGAATCTCCCCTGGTTGGTTGGTTGGAGTGAGGTCTGCGGGCCGGGGGTTGGATTATTTATAAAATTTATCGCAATGGACGGGCTTGGAAAATGAAAAATAATGAAGGGATGGCGCTTTTTTGTTTGGTCACTCGCTGCATTGTATTGTGCATACATACACCAGCATGCTCGAGACGACACTATTCATGAGGGACTTTTTAAAGTGCTATAATTTTCATAATCTCACCCGACAAGCAGACTGGTGTGGTGTGCTTTTAGTTTACGATGTGAAGCAGTTTCAAATTATTTCAGATAATTTCCTTTAGTTTTGCTCTCAACTTCATGCATGGAACTTAGAATGCATTTATGCAAATTGTGAAACTAGACAATCGTGACATAACAACCTAGATTTTTCACAAATTTTGCTAGTGTCACACAGCACAGGTAGGTACTTGCCAGTGACAACGATTTACGACGCCGGACTTGTACTAGTAGAAAGTTGCTGCTGAGCATCATGTATGCTAATTAAATGGTCCTGCATGAGCAAGTAGTGAACACAGCGCGAGGCAACCGGAGATGCGAGATCTTACTTTATTTGCATAAATTATGCAAGACAAACTGATGATAATTAAAACTTTTTTCGTCACACCACTGTCTCGTGTTTGTGTTGTGTACATGGAAAGTGTTCCAAAGTGAAGGACATTTTAAGAACATTATGTTAGATAAGTTTTGTTTCATGAAACATCAGTTTGAATTCTGATCAGTAGGCTGTGCGTGTGTTCGAACCTGACGTTTGTTTTTTCCGTGGAGTTTTTATTTTATTTTATGTATAATCGGTTCTGGCCATAACCAGGCCCAGGAGACAATTTCTAGTTCCTCAGTATTATTTGCCGCTGAGAAGCTGTTCCGAAGCCAAGTAGAACCTCCACGAAGCGTCCCATCATTCGTCCCATCATTAGTTCCATCATTCGTTGAGTCGCAGCGTTGAACCTGACTATTGGCCACGAAAAGGCTTGCCAATTAACATCAAAAATTGACTATGTACATGCGAACATTTGTTTATCTCAAATCGAAGGAAGACATTCCGCGCAACTACCATAAACCGGACTAGTTCATGTTGATCTTCGTCAAGCTTCGTCTACAATTTGGACTTCTATCAACACATGTCAGGCAGCTTTCAGGTTCAATTGGCTAAACTTGGTTAGTTCGTTCCATTTTGTAAATTTTTGACGTAGAACTACGTATTTGTCGACTATACTGGGGTGCAAATCAAAAAATATGTGTGGTGAAGGAGTGTTAGGTTTTGAACGCTTGTAAATGTGTCATTTATAGATGAAATTAAAATCCAAATACGCCAATCGATAGGATATAACATTACGAACGTGCTGAAATGAATATTTTTCCAATTTTTCTGTAGTTAAACTATTGAAAATGTACAAATGATAATGTTATCACTGTTTTCATGAAATAAGCCTTTTTCCCAAAACCAGTCAGCATAAACGAATACCACTTGGTTGCACATCATTCCCGCTTCGGACGGCGTGGCACTAGGTCCTGCAGCAAGCAGGACTAAGTCAGCGGCTAAAGGTGGATCACGGCGTGTCCACCACAATGAGGAATGATACTTGAAAAAACGTGCATGTAAACCCCCTCCCCCTTAACAACCTCTCCCCCTCCCCCCTTAACAATAACCCGAAAAAGACATGGACTTTGACGATCATTTTTTTCCGGGAAATAAAGTTTAAGCAAACCACAATTATGTATAAACAATTAATATTTTACATGCAGAGTCAACATTTTCAAAAAACAATTGCTTAACAGGAGACATACACTCGATGAATTACCAACAACTGACTGTAAAGCATATCTGGTACCTCTATATATGCAATTATATTAACAACCAAAGTCCATCCTATTTTACATATTCTGCACAAAAGAAACTTTTTGCTCAGCCCCATTCATAAAAAAACGGCGGGAAATCCTATCAGGTTTGGTTGCCAATTGGTCTGCCTGAACCCGAAAAGATATAAAACAGCGCTGCTGTCGTGCTTTTGCTCATTGTCACAGCGGACGGCGTGCCACTTGGTCCTGCAGCAAGCAGGACCAAGTCAGTGGCTAAAGGTGGATCACGGCGTGAAATGAGGAATGCGACACAATGAGGAAAAGCAATGTTTGTAAACCTCCTTCCCCTTCACAACAACCTCCCTCCTTCAACAACCCCCTCCCCCTCAACAACCCCCTCCCCCTCAACAACCTCTCCCCCCACCCTCAACAAAACCCGAAAAAGACATGGACTTTGACGAATACTTTTTTCCGGGAAATAAATTTTAAACAAACCACAATTATTAGCAAAAACAGAAGTTTTTCCCTTAATTTCTTCCCGCACCAAAACTTTCAAATTTGATAGAAAAAAATAGCTTGAAATACATATTCGATGATATTATATTGATGAATTACACACCACTGACTGTAAAGTAGTAGTAGTAACATTTCGTTTATTTCTGTTGATTATGGTGTATACATTGATTTTACATTTCAATTGATTAGCCTATTCGGCTCTTCATCTTTGTTCATTGGCTATTCTAATTTAGTATTTGCGTGTTTCATCTAGTTAACAGAATACCCCTTGGGGGTGTGTTTTGTTTTAATTGAAAAATTTGATAACTTACCTAACTACGAGTCTAACTTAACTAACGTGCCAGATCACGTATGATCTGAAGATCTGATCTCTGAACCTTTCCAAGGAGACTGTTCGTCGCTCTTCGAGAGGCTGAAGGCCAGCTAGGCAGTGAACCTCAGAATTTTGGGTTCTGGACTGTTTAGGATCATCCTAAGGATCTACACATACTTAATATATGTACATATAAAAACCATGCGTGACCAGTGACCACACATACTCATTTGCGTATAAATTTCATGTGTACTTCTGAGTGGATTCTGTTTATGTGTGGTCAAATGAAAATCATGTGGAATTTCACATTAATATATTTGTGAAGAAAAATGTTTAAATTGTTTTGAGTGAACCATAACCGAAACATTGAAATACTTGAAAATTTTAAGATAAAGTATAATAGTCAAAATGCATGCATCAATGTTGTGTGGTTCTACGTCATACTGCGGTCGTGTCTAGGACACAACCCTTTAATTTTTTTTTATCTTTTCAAATCAGTAACGTTGGGAGATCACCTTTTTGTGGTGCGTTACTGGTATAAGATCTACCACCGAACCCTAGTCGTGACAACTTCAAACTAGGGAATCAGGATTTTCCAGTAATCAAAGGATCACATTATAGTACTTGTTACTTTTTATGACTTGATAATAGTGACAAGACCACCGCGCCGTTATCCATTTCTATATTGTAGATTTCACATTCAGCTTTCCCCCGAAGAACGTGTTACTCACTGAGTTGCAACCACCGCTTTGTCTCGGTGGGTTTTCAACCAAGCGCTCTGATTTTCTGCGAGTGACTATTTCTCCATTGACCCTACTCACATGCAAAAAATCAGACCGACTGGTTGAAACCCCGCTTAGAAAACTCAGTGGGTAACGCGTTCTTCGGGGGATAGCTGTAATCCTTTTCACTTTGTCCTTCTCCTTTTCCTTTCCCTCTTCTCTTTTCAGAAAGCGAGTAATGGCGCTATAGCCATAAGTCATGAAAGGCTAGGACAAGAGAGTTAGTGATCATGTCCCAACCGTCAGAAAAAAATGGAGCATCACTTAACCTTTCTAGCTTTGATGCTTCCAACGACCAACCCATCATATAATTACCAAAATCGGAACGTACGGTACGAAATGTCCACGTTTCATCCATTTATTGGATTCTGAATAATCTTGCCCCTTAAATTCTGCACAATGGTCCTGGCCGTTTTGATATGTGTGACGCATCTTCGATGTGAAACATAGGTATGACAAAAAGACAAGAAAAATTATGTAGGTATATAGGGGAAATGGCTCTAACGTTGGCCTATGCATCTAAGATTGTGCCCATCGCTAAAAATCTGCTATTTATCAATTTTATCTGGATAAACGCGTCATTGGGACAGTACTAATGGATATTTTTGGCCGCTATTGAAAATTTAGTCGATTACTGAATTTATGTATGGGCCCAAATATGGGGCATTTAGGCCAACAATACATCAATTTCCCCTATATCATTTTCCAGGATGCTTTCAAGAACTGGCTGTGTTGGTGTTGGATTAGATTAGATGAAACATCAAATTAAATTGTTTTTTTATATGATTAAACATTGCAGCTATACTTACCATTCGCATACAGAAGCTGTAACCGATACTGGATGCCATTATTCGTCTTCGTGCTGTCTGATTCCTGTGAAACAAAAATAAAAATAGCAAAGGATATGATTATGATTTACAAAGATACAAATGTTGATTAAGGTAGGGGAATCCTAGTCTTCGTCGCTTCCTATGCCCATCAGGGGAACTTAAATTGAATTGATTAGCGCTCTGTTTTTGCGCTACTGGTTCTAAAACTTTTGGCGATTGCGATCTATTTTGAGAAGTTCCATAGGGTCGCGATGCACTAATATAGAATACAAGTGTTTGTAAGGCCAAAAATAATATTATATTACAAAAACGGTTCATCTAATCGATAATATAGAAGCCATTCCATATCAAAACGATATAGTGGTTCTCCGAATTTCGTAAACGTTGGTACTTTTGATTCTTAGAGTGACCATTTCCATGTTAGAGTGGCCCAAAGAATCATTTTTTTTCAAAGATGATTGTTTTCAAAAATTTATAAATTTTGAAACACTGGGCTGGTTTCAAAGATCAAAACATTAAATAAAAAATAATTAAAAATCGATTTTAGAAAAAAAAAAATATATAATGATACTAAAAATTGGGATTTTATTCTACAAAACGATGATTGTGTATTTTATGGTTTCATGGCTTGTAGATAGAGAGCGCAATATATTGCGCACTGCATAAGAAAATCGAAATCACTACTAAAATAACAGAATCATCCCAGAAATGTTCGAAATCGTTTCAAGAAGTTTTGGTAAACATCAGCAAAGTTTTAAATCACTTCGGGAAGTGTTGACTTATTTTTGAAAAATACGGAATCACTTCTGAAAGTACTGAAATACTTCAGAAATGTTCCAAATCACTTCGGAAAGCAATAATTACTTGTGATAAATTCGTAATAACTTAGCTTAGCCGGTAAAGACGCAGCTACAAAGCAAGACCATGCTGGAGGTGGCTGAGTTCGATTCCCGATCCGGTCTAAGAATTTTTCGGGTAGGAAAATTTCTCGACTTTCCTGGACATAGAGTATGATTGTACTTGCCACACAATTATACTAATGTAAAAATGGTACAGGCATCAATTCATAACTGCCGAAGTGCATCTAGAACACTAAGTTGAGAGCACGCAATAAGCTAAAATACGATAAACAATAAGCTTCAAATGCGAAGAAGAAGAAAAAGGAAGAATTTCAAAGTACTAACTAAATGATTGGAAGTAGCGTTAACTACCCCATTTCCGGCCTTATAAGCACAATCCGCATTTAGTCTTTCTTAATCTAGCGTAGCTTAGCACCAAACAAAATGTTTTTTATTGCTGATGGCTTCCAAATTTATTTACCTTTCCGTACGTACCGTAAGATTTAATAAAGAGAAACAAATTGTTGAGATATTGTTAAAAGTCTAACACTGCTTCTTGACACCAAATTCGACCTACGGATTCTAAACTCGGCCTAACGCATTCAAACGCCATTGAAACGCCAATGAATTCACTTTGGCCTATCGGATGAAACATCGATTCTGTCAGAGCGCTTCATTTGTATTTGAGAATATGGGGAGCAAACATTCATATCACGCGTTCTTATTGACTTCGTGCGGTAGCATTTGAACTAAAGTATCGTAGCAAATGCATAATTTACCTGTTAAAGCCGAAATCATGGATTTATTTGATGTTTTCTGCTTGATAGGCCCAAAATGGGTGCTTAGGCCGATGTAGTTCTCCACCCTACTTTAGAAAGAACTTAATTTCTTCAAAAATGATCGGAATCAATTTTGAAAGTACTGAATCATTTGAGAAAAGTTCTAAATAACTTCGGAAAGTACTAGATCATTTTATAAATATTTGGAGTCATCTTGGAAAGAACTGAATCACTTCTGTAATGTTTGAAATCACTTTGAAAATATCGGAATCATTTAAGAAATATTCTGAATCACTTCGAATAGTACTGATTCACTTCAGAAAAGTTTGGAATCACTCCGGAAGGACCTGAATCAATTAAGAAATGCTTAAGGTGATTCCCTGTAGCGTCCTTTTTCGTGTTACACTTCGCAATTTCACATGTAAAAATAATAAGATTTCTGTGAATGCACGTAGCTGAAACTACTACTTGTTGTTTGCTGCGGAGAAGCAAGGAATGTCTGAAATATTCAGATGTATACACCTCGTAGATCTTGAGATGTGTGCTCTTAAAATTGCGAGGTGTGATGGAAAAACGGACTCTACGATGAAACACCTTAAACTCACTTAGAAAAGTACTGAATCATTTCAGAAACGTTGAATCAGAAACTTTTAAAAATTCGGAATCATTTCGGAAAATACTGAAATCACTTCAGAAATTATCTGAAAGTACCATTTCCTTTCAAAAAATTTCTAAAACACTTCGGAACGTACTGTATCAGTTTTGGAAAATTTGTAATCACTTCCACAAGTACTAAATCGCTTCGAAAAAAACTGGATCATATTCGAAAAGTTTGGAATCACTTCACAAAACTTGTGATTCAGAACAATCCTGAAGTGATTCAGTACTTTTTGAATTGATTATGAACATTTCTGTATTGATTCAGTTCCTGTCTAAGTGATTCCAAACTTTTCTTAAATGAATTAGTACTTTTTGAAGTGATTCTGAAAATATCTTTAATAATTCAGTTCTTTCAGAACTGATTTCGAACATCAAAGAAATGATTCAGTTCTTTCTGAAGTTATTCCAAACTTTCTTTGAACATATTCTGTCCTTTTCAAAGTGATTCCATACATTCCTGAAGTGATTTAAAACTATTAATGGTTCCGAACACTTCGTAAAGTACTGTATCAGTTTTGGAAAATTTGGAAAAAAATCTAAAAGTACTGAATCACCTCATAAATGTTCGGAATAACTTCGGAAAGAACTGAATCATTTTTTTTCGAAATCGGTTCTGTAAGAACTGAATAATTTAAGATATATTCAGAATCACTTCAAAAAGTGCTAATTCACTTAAGAAAAGTTTGGAATCACTTCGAAAGGAACTGAATCAATCCAGACATGTTCATAATCAATTCGGAAAGTACTGAATCACTTCAAAATTGTTCTGAATCACAAGTTTTGTGAAGTGATTCCAAACTTTTCGAAAATGAATCAGGTTTTTTCGAAGTTATTTAGTACTTGTGGAAGTGATTGCAAACTTGTATGGAATGTTTTAATACTTCCCGACGTTCATCCAAAGTTTTCTGAAGTGTTACAGTACTGTCCAAAGTATTTCTGACTTCGAATATTTTTAAATATATTCAGTACTTTCTGAAGAGATTCCTAACTGTTTGGGAACGCGCCACTTTCCTTTTCATACTTGTTGACATAGTAATGACTGTTATACCGTATTGTGTGTATTTGTATTTTGTATCGTATGTGAAATATATTCAATTGTTTCTAAACCACCATCGGTCGTCTTTAGATTTTAACTTATATTGACGCACACAACGCAGTAAAAAGGGTCCTATCGTTCGCGATCACTAACTTATCTGAATCGATTCAGTACCTTCAGAAGTGATTCCGATCATTTCTAAAGTGATACAATATACAGTCAAGATTCCTATAGTACGGTTAATAGGGACCGTACTATAGGAACCAACATTAACGAATACACGTAGCATATGGGATTAGAGCTAATTGGGACCAAACACTGATTGTACGGCAATTTGAAGAGATAACTTCCTGATGTATTTTGAGAAGTTGTTAAGCAGAAAGTTGGCCACCTTTTGGAACGATTCAGTTTCCGGTAGAAAACAAGTCTGATCCTGTGGAAGATCCGGAATATCCGTAAAAGTTGCCAATTCATGAAACTAATCCTAGAGCTGCGCGGATTTTTCGAAACCACTCATAAACGTCTTATCAGAATGTATTCGGAGTTGTGACCGGAATATGACCCCTAGGGACACCACGGAATGGTTCACCGGAAGATTCGGAACATCCGTAAAAGTGGTCAATTCATGAAACTGATCCTGCAGCTCAGCGGATTTTTCGAAACCACTCATCTTAACGTGTTATCAGAATGTATTCGGAGTTGTGACCGGAATATGACCCCTGAGGACACCACGGAATGGTTCACTGGAAGATTCGGAACATCCGTAAAAGTGGTCAATTCATGAAACTGATCCTGCAGCTCAGCGGATTTTTCGAAACCACTCATCTTAACGTGTTATAAGAATTAATTCGAATATCTTTTCATAAGTTCATTTCTCGTAAAAAAAACCTTCTTTGGTTACATTTAGAACTTATGATGACGCATACCTTTGCTGAAGCAACCAGGCTGCAAGCCTTTTTTTTTATTATTAGAAAATTAATGAAGATTTTCTTCGAAAAAAAAAATGGTTCTATTAAAATGACAATGTCTCTAAATGGAGCAAACCGAGTTTTAAACTTTTGATTTCATTTGAAAGATCGTGTTTCTTTCATTATTGGTGGAAAAAACTGTGAGAGCGTTTTTTGTTTAAAATGTTTAATGTTATTTAAAAAAAATCTTTTTTTTATCAAAGCTAGTCATAACTTTTAAATATAAATGAGATGCCAAATTAGTGACTTCTGCAAAAATATGCGTCATAAACAGTTCTAAAAGTATTTAGAACAATATTTCTACGAGAGGTTAGGGTGGTCTCTAGGAAATTGGCTTCCTTTAAAGATTGTTTATGCGTTGATCACCAATAAAAATATTTAAGGAAAGATTTTCTAGGGGCCACTCCAACCTACTCGTTTAAAATAACCATAAGTCATGAACCATAAGAGATAAAAATTTGATACCATGAGCAAAGTTGGTTCAAATTGATTGTTCTACAACTTTTTAAAACACTTCGTTAGTCTATCTCAAGTAATAAAAAAAGGTTGAATTTTCAATTCACCAATTTTAAGGACCACCCTAATTTCAAATCGGCTAAAAAATACGAATAAACTTTTCTGAAGACACTATATACCTAAAACTGACGGTTTGGACGCAAACATTTTTGTCTTCCTAAATACGGCTTTGGGACCATTGTGTATTGGTCCCCAGAGTCAATTTTCTGGTCATAACTCCAAATTAATTCTGATAAGACGCCAATGAGTGGTTTCGAAAAAAAAGCGGACTTCTAAGCTCAGTTTCAAGAACTGATTTTTTTATGGATGTTCAGGATCTTCCTGGTGAACCATCTCGTGGTCCCAAAGGTCCATTTTCCGTCTAAGAGTTCATATTTCGGTCACAACTCCAAATTCATTCTGATAAAACGTTTATGAGTGGTTTCGCAAAATTCATGAAGCTCTACGATCAGTCTCATGAATTGACAACTTTTGCGGATGTTCCGGATCTTTCGGTGGACCATCCCGTGGTCCCCACGGGGCCATATTCCAGTCACAACTCTGAATTCATTCTGAAAGGAACTGAACCATCTCGTGGTCCCCAGGGCTTTTACGATCACAACTCCGAATACATTCTGTTTCATGAATTGACCCCTTTTACGGATATTCCGGATCTTCCACAGGATCAGACTTGTGTCCTACTGGAAATAGAATCGTCCCAAAAGGTGGCCAACTTTCTACTTAACAACTTCTCATAAGACATCAGGAAGTTATCTCTTCAAATTGCCGTACAATCAGTGTTTGGTCCCCATTAGCTCTAATCCCATATGCTTTGGAGGCGAACCAGCCTAAGGCTGAAAGCCTCCTAAATAAAGCTAAATTAATTAATTAATCCCATATGCTATGTGTATTCGTTAATGCCAGTGGCAACCGTACTATAGAAATCCGGCAAGAACGAATCCGTACTATAGGAATCTTGACTGTATTCCGAAGTGATCCAGTACTTTCTGAAGTGAATCTGTACTTTTCGAATTGAATCCATACTTTTCTGAAGTGATGCAATACTTTCTAAAATGATTCAGTAATTTCCAAAGTGATTCAGAACTTTTTATGAAGCTATTCTGTCTTTTTTGAAGTGATTTCGAACATTCCTGAAGTGATTTAAAAGTTTTCGAAATGGTTCAGAACACTTCTGAAGTGTTTCAATTATTTTCTTAAGTGCTTCAGTACTTTCCGTTGAGATTCTATACTTTGATGAAGTGATTCAGTACTTTTCGAAGTGACTCCGAGCTATTCTCAAGTGATTTAGTACTTTCCGAAGTGATTTCAAACTTTTCAGAAGTGACTCAGTACTGTCCAATGTGATTCCAAACTTAAAGTTCTAGTTTAATTGTTGATTTTTTTGTGAGAGCTGAAATTTGTGCTCTTGAAATTTCGAGGCGATATGAAATTTGTGCTCTTGAAATTTCGAGGCGATAATACTTAAGATGGACCGAAAATATAGTTTACACAGCGAATCACCGTGTGAAGTGAATAAAAACATTTCTGAAGCTAGTCAGTGCTTTCCGAAGTAATTCCAAACGCTTTGACATATTTTATTTGGGTGATGCTAAACTTTTTAAGGTGATGCAATATTTATGCGAGCATAAAGACATTTGAACTCATAGAAGTTTGGCCGAATAGGTGGGCCTAATGGATGTTTAAGTCGGGAAAAGATTAAAACAATAGTTTTCAATATCCTCCCAAGTCTGTTAAGCCAAATCCGTGTTATGTTTCTCTAGCTGTGGATTAACGAATTAATTGCAATTCAGGTATAAAATCTACACATTTAGAAAAATTCAAGTAAATTTAGATGCTCTGAGTCTGGCATATACGAGCGTCCAATTTGACATAAAATTGAGTCATGACAGAAGCGAAATTCAATTCAATCAAACCTAATTTTTGTCGAGTATCGAACTCAGTCAGTCTCGTAGCCCTTAATTTTACATGACATGTGTGTTTACGTCTCATACTTTATGTCAAAGATGGATTCAGTCACGTGTAAGATTAGTTATTTATAAGTGTGTACATAAAAATATATTAAAGAAACATAGTAGGAGATGCTTAACGTCAAATATCAGACTTTTAGTGGTAATTTTATAGGATAGATGAGGAGATGAAAGTGTAAAGTTGATAATTCCGTTAGAGTTCGGCAGTTTGAAAATTGTAAATAGAGAGTAGAAAGCGAGCAAAGGTCAATTTTGAGGAAGGTACGAATCGGGTTGATCATCTCCTTTACCAAACTCTCCTGTTGAGGATGGATGGTGAGGGGTATCCCCTCGCCACCACTGGCAAAATAGATGATCGTCGATTTGCTAACGTACATTCGATGTGCGGAAACAGTTCAATCGATTGTTTCAGACTAAAATCGCCATCTGACGTAAGCATCTAATATTTGACGTTAAGCATCTACAACTATCTAAATCGTTAACTTCACGCATGCATTAATACAAACATGATTAGTTAAAGTATAATGAACAAAGTCGAATTTTATGTTGAGTTGTACCCATGAAAGCGACGAAATTTGCTTTCGTTGCAAAATATCTTATAATTATAGTCATGACTCACCTGATCCTTCTCGATGAATCCGATGAACGCCGTCCGTTCGATTTCGATCGGCTGTCCGGCTCGATCGTACAGCGCCACCACGAAATGAAAAAAGTTCGACTTCCTCAGATTGCTCGGCGGTTGCTTCTCAAAGTGAGCTCGTCCAATCCCCAGACTGCAAAATAGAACCAATGGTGATAATTATATTAGATTATGCCTGTAGATAGAGTCGGGAAAAATTGACGAAAGAACAACCGCAAGCTACACACTTACACACACACACACTCACACACCATCGAACGAACCGTAATTGAGCAATGGACGACTAGCCGTAAAATGTTATTGAACCATTTCGCATTTTGCGTTTAACACCTACACCTCTGTAGCACGCGGCTGCTTGGAGCTACGGATTTCAGCCTAAGGGGGTTCTTCCGTCGTTCCGGTACCAGCTGTCTGTGAGTGGATACCATCGCCCGGTACCCGGAAAATTATGAACCTGTAGTGCACCGTTTCGATGAACGGTGGCGATATTCTAAAGAAGGGTCCCCTGGGAGCTTATGACCAGCAGCCACCACAGTTGTAGAGCGCAGCGAGGAGCGTAGCGGAACATCGGCAACAGCAACAGAGCTCGCTGTCTGCGATTCGAGCGCCGATATTCTATATCGGAAAACGGTGGGCCATATTAAATTCATGAACATCATCGTTGCTGGTGCACCACCCAGCAGCAGCAACTTAACCGGGCAAGAGCTTTATCGTGAACAATTATAACCGTTTAAGATAGTCTCGAATGCGAATGCTTTCGGCGTCGCATACTCAAACGTTGGTGAGATCTGCCTCTGTTGCAGCCTACTACACTCGAGGCAAGTGAACCTAATCCGATAAGGAGCGCTCGCTCTGTCTCGAACTCAAGGTCGGGAAACGGGCAAATCCAATGACAGCGTGACGTCATCGAATTCTACAGTGGTTCTGGCGTGTCTGGTTTTGTACAATCCTAGAGCGAGATTCGGATTTGGATTCCGGCATTTGGCCTACATATTGTAGCGTTATGAATGGGTGTTATCTTAAATTAGTTCGCTGTCGGGAGGTTTGCCAGCTGAGCATCACCGTTGAAAATAAATTGAGTTTTGTTGTGTTAAAATAATGAAGTTTGATTAGTGCACACATGTGGTATTGCTTGTTTGGTGGAGTCTTGAGGTTATTTTTGAAAAGTATTTTATAAGCCCTATAGGATGTTGGAGATAAAACCGTGGATGAAATTGACTTAAGCATTCATGAACATAAGATTTAGATTTCACAATTCACAATTGAATATATTTGGAGAAGCATTAATCCTTGATTCGTATTTTGAAATAAAAATCAATATTTGTTACTCCTGAACTCAAAAGAATCACTTTCACTTCCTTCGTAAAACATCTAAATTAGTAATTTTTAGTACTGAATGGAAATGGAATGGAAATGAAATGGAAATGGAATGGAAATGGAATGGAAATGGAATGGAAATGGAATGGAAATGGAATGGAAATGGAATGGAAATGGAATGGAAATGGAATGGAAATGGAATGGAAATGGAATGGAAATGGAATGGAAATGGAATGGAAATGGAATGGAAATGGAATGGAAATGGAATGGAAATGGAATGGAAATGGAATGGAAATGGAATGGAAATGGAATGGAAATGGAATGGAAATGGAAATGGAATGGAAATGGAATGGAAATGGAATGGAAATGGAATGGAAATGGAATGGAAATGGAATGGAAATGGAATGGAAATGGAATGGAAATGGAATGGAAATGGAATGGAAATGGAATGGAAATGGAATGGAAATGGAATGGAAATGGAATGGAAATGGAATGGAAATGGAATGGAAATGGAATGGAAATGGAATGGAAATGGAATGGAAATGGAATGGAAATGGAATGGAAATGGAATGGAAATGGAATGGAAATGGAATGGAAATGGAATGGAAATGGAATGGAAATGGAATGGAAATGGAATGGAAATGGAATGGAAATGGAATGGAAATGGAATGGAAATGGAATGGAAATGGAATGGAAATGGAATGGAAATGGAATGGAAATGGAATGGAAATGGAATGGAAATGGAATGGAAATGGAAATGGAAATGGAAATGGAAATGGAATGGAAATGGAATGGAAATGGAATGGAAATGGAATGGAAATGGAATGGAAATGGAATGGAAATGGAATGGAAATGGAATGGAAATGGAATGGAAATGGAATGGAAATGGAATGGAAATGGAATGGAAATGGAATGGAAATGGAATGGAAATGGAATGGAAATGGAATTAAAATAGAATGGAATTGGAATGAAAATTTAATTATTAGTAACATAGAATTCAGAATGGAATTCAGAATGGAATTGAGATTAAAATTGATTTTTTTTTTCAGACCCTAATTCGGGCAACATACAGGCTTAGATGACATGTATCAGATTTTTTCCGCAAAAAGTACTTCAATTGAGGGGATTAGAAGGAAAGGGGTGTAAGGGTTGATGCATATAGTATGTCACGGTTTAAGGGGGAGGGGGTTGGGTCTAAGATCTTGTGACAAGCAATGCATTAGGTATAGGAAAAACGTAACGATAAGGGGAGGGGGTAAATTTTTCCTCCATTCAGCGTTACATAATTAATGCATGGGCCCTAAGTGACTTTGATCAATTCTCGTCATCGACTTTCTCTTTTGTTAATAATTTAGCTGCAAACACATACCTTGATTCGTGTGCCATTCTGGATGCTAGTTGAGAACCTTCTTTATCAAACTATGTGGCAGAAATAGCGCAAAATCTGTTTATAAAGCTGTGGTTGTCAAAAGAGAAAGTCGATGAAGGGAATCGATCAATGTCACTTACACCCCCTTCCTTCTAACCCCCTCAATCATAAGCCCATCTTGGATCATTAGACAAGAGTTACGGAAAGCAAGTCCAGAGAATTCCGGGTTTTCAAAGAACTGTACAGAAGACTTCTTAAGCTAGTGCAATGTTTAAAAGCGTTCCACTGCTCCTTGAAGATAAGATCAGTTCAAAGGCTTCAAATTCAAGCCGAGGAAGCTTTATTATACCTATGTAAACTGTAAATTCAATTCAAATAGATATAGAAGTCAAACTCATTACACATTCTCCACTTCAATTCCGAGCCCACTTAATTAGTCATCGGACACAGTTGCGTTTTAATCGAGCAGCAAATGAAGCTACCTAATTTTACGAACCAAATTGATTCCACACCAAATCAAATCACCACCCGAAAACCGCGTGTATTACGCGCTAATTTACCTCCACGAGCGCCCACCAAAGCAGACACCAACAATTAGACAAACAATCAGCACCAGCTGTCAATCGAGGCAGCAATTAATGTCGCGAAACGCGTGTCACTTTAACCGAGTTATGTCCGTGTGTGAGTGTATGACTGCGCGACAAATCTCGCGGACAAATTAAACCGAAATTTGTTTAGCCCTGCTTGATTAGCTGCGGGCATCTGGTCGTAGAGTGGTATCGATCAATGAACCCTCGTTGCCGTTGCGGCAGCCGTTTAGATTTTTCCGAAAACAGCAACAATACCCTGGTGGCCTATTAGGACTGGAACCCTTTTTGCCCACAATGACAGATCGGTGGTGCACCGAACGGGCCAGACTTAGACGAACGTTCCCCAAAGATTGATTTCTTCGAAGGCGTACCAAGAGAATGGAGTAATTGAATTATTCACCCTTTGCTCTTGGCTTGGCTGTGGAATCCCAGTGTTTGTAGGTACAGTGGTTGCAATTTGAATGCTTTATGACTTCTTGTTATTTTCGTTTCAAACCAAGTCGGACACACACTCAGTAAACAACATTAGACCTTGGTTCTATGCATTATTGATCCTGAGGTTGGAATTGCCTAAATCGAACCAAAGAAACCGGAGATGTTTTCCTTGCGTGGTCCTCTTGCTAGGTCAATTTATCAAACAATAAATTTGATTAGTAACCAATTAAATTTGAACAAGCAGTATGGCACCCAATTCCAATCTTACCAATAGGGGGCCTCCAGTAAAGCTCCGCATGTTTCCGAAAAGGGGTTTTCGCAACATTGCTTTAGAATGTTGCAGAAGGGGGCAGACCGGTCCACGACGACCTTCTAATGCAGTTCCCACTGGTTTGGTCCGGTCAGGCTAAAGCCAAAACCGAATAGGTGCGTGCATGTGTGTGTGAGCGCTGTGTCCACTTGTATGCGACGAGGACGATTGCCCGGTTGGTGTGACCGGTACTCATATTTTGTTTATTACGGTTATAATTTCCTACTCCGGAGCATGGGATATGGCCGTTATTGGCACCCTCCAGGTCGTTTGGCAGCGCTATCACCCGGTCGTATACAATATTTGTGTCTGTCTGATTGTCCGTCTCTATCCATGAGCCTCGGACACAACTGTCGGAACGCTGGTCGTTGCTGTTGTTGTTGTTGCTGCTGCTGCGGCCGTTACGGATACTGACCAACATTCGATAGCCACCGTTCCAATTTATGCATCTGATGCCGGAAGGATATTATCAATATTTCGATGAAATTTTATTGGAATACGTTTTGAATAAATTTGTACTGTTTTGCATTTTAATGTTTTGCGGCTGGATAGTACTAGTAGTAGCAATCGGTACTTGGGTGAATCTTGAAGCGCAGTTTTGAAAACGAGAGGCGTTTGGGAGGAAGAGCCTTTGGCCGGCTGGCTGGCGTTTGGGTGTGTTCGAAATTATGGTGCTATTTTTGTCACTATGAGCTGGCACGTATCGGAGGATGTTGTTGGATTCTGGTGCAGAGTTTGCACCACATCTGGCGATTGCAATGCATTGTAAATCAATTGTATTACCGCTTGTTGCAGCGTTAGAATGTAGTGACTTTGTCAGGAGTAATTACAAAATATGTTTTAGTAGGAAAATTACCATTGACAAATTTATCGTAAGCGGGTGGTATGGAAACAAAATAAGGTGGAGCTAAAGCAGAGAACAAAACAACGTAATTAGTGGATAGAATGTTTTATTTTAGAGCATAACTACGTTAAGTTAAATGTCCAAGTCGAACTCATGCTGACTGAAGGTTGAAGAAACAGCGAAAGTTGGTGAGATCATTTTAAATTTTAAATTTTTATTTTTGCTAGTATATATATATACAAACCAATGCTGGGATTGGGGGGACCAT